AGTAAATACATTGCAGGAAGTACTGTTCTTTCTACTGGAAGCAAGCACATAGATACAGAAGTGACACATATTTTTCTTAAGCCAATTAACTGACAATGATGGCAAGTCCATTTTACAAACAACTCATTAGGAATGTGATTAAATGCAAAATGATACTACTCATTCGTTTTCACTGTAGTAAATACATTGCTAGAAGTACCGTTCGTTCTGCAGCAAGCAAGCACTTTGATAGAGAATCAACACATATTTTTCTAAAACAACCTGACTGACATCGATGGCAAGTCCCTTTTGCATACAACTCATTAGGAACGTGGTTAAATGCAAAATGCTTCTGTTCCTTCGTTTTCACTGTAGTAAATACATTGCAAGAAGTACTGTGTTTTCTACAGGAAAGCATGCACTTAGATACAGAATGGACACTTATTTTTCTTAAGGTACCTGACTGACATTGATAGCAAGTCCCTTTTACATACAACTCATTAGGAACGTGGTTAAACGCAAAATGCTTCTGTTCCTTCGTTTTCACTGTAGTAAATACATTACTCGAAGTAGAGTTCTTTCTACAGGAAGCAAGCACTTAGATACAGAAGCGACACATATTTTTCTAAAGGAACTTGAACGACTTTGATGTCAAGTCCGTTTTACATACAACTCATTAAGAACGTCGTTAAATGCAAAATGCTTCACTTCATTCATTTTCACTGTATTAAATACATTCCTAGCAGTACTGTTCTTTCTACAGGAAGCAAGCACTTACATACAGAGTGACACATATTTTTCTGAAGCAACCTGACTGATATTGATGGCAAGTCCCTTTTGTATACAATTCATAAAGAATGTGGTTAAACGCAAAATGCTTCTGTTCATTCGTTTTCACTGTAGTAAATACATTACTAGAAGTACTGTTCTTTCTATAGGAATCAAGCAGTTAGATATAGAAGTCACACATATTTTCCTGAAGCAACCTGACACACATTGATGGCAAGTCCCTTCTGCATACAATTCATAAGGAACGTGGTTAAATGCAAAATGCTACTCTTCATTTATTTTCACTATAGTAAATACACTGCAAGAAGTACTGTTCCTTCTACAGGAAAGCATGCACTTAGATACAGAATGAACATATTTTTCTTAAGCTACCTGACTGACATTGATGGCAAGTCCCTTTTACAGCTACTCTTCATGCGTTTTCACTATAGTAAATACATTGCAAATAGTAGTGTGTTTTCAACAGGAAAGCATGCACTTAGATACACATGGAACACATTTTTCTTAAGGTACCTGACTGACATTGATGGCAATTCCCTTTTACATACATCTCAATAGGAACGTGGTTAAATGGAAAATGCTACTCTTCATGCGTTTTCACTATAGTAAATGCATTGCAAGAAGTACTGTGTTTTCTACAGGAAAGCATGCACTTAGATACACATGGAACACATTTTTCTTAAACAACCTGTCTGACATTAATGGCAAGTTCTTTTTACATACAACTCATTAGAAACGTGTTTAAATGCAACATACTTCTGTTTCTTCATTTTCACTATAGTAAATGCATTGCAAGAAGTACTGTGTTTTCTACAGGAAAGCATGCACTTAGATACAGATGGGACACATATTTTTCTAAAGCAAGCTGACCAACATTGATGGCAAGTCCCTTTCGCATGCAATTCATAACGAGCATGGATAAATGCAAAATGCTTCTGTCTGCTCATTCCTTTTCACTGTAGTAAATACATTGGTAGACTGTTCTTTCTACAGGAAGCAAGAACTTAGATACATAATTGACACATATTTTTCTAAAGCAAGCTGACCAACATTGATGGCAAGTCCCTTTTGCATGCAATTCATAACGAGCATGGATAAATGCAAAATGCTACTCTTCATTCGTTTTCACTATAGTAAATACATTGCAAGAATTTCTGTGTTTTCTGCAGGAAAGCATGCACTTAGATACAGATGGGACACATATTTTTCTTAAGCTACCTGACTGACATTGATGACAAGTCCCTTTTGCATACAACTCATTAGGAACGTGGTTAAATGAAAAATGCTACAGTTCATTCATTTTCTCTGTAGTAAATACATTGTGAGAACTAGTGTTCTTTCTGCAGGATGCAAGCACTTAGATACAGATGCCAAACATATTTTTGTAAAGCATCCTGAGTGACATTCATGGCAAGTCCTTTTTACATACAACTCAA